TAAATGTTGTTAGCAGAAAAACCAGGCTTTTCCACAGTAGGAATTCAAAACCAAAGCAGACAACAGTGGTGTGGTCACATAAAAAAGACACCTGATTACAAACATGTCATGCGTACACGACACCAATGCCACATGCACTCATGGGGCCGAGGAGGGGAGTATTCAGAAGTGCCCGGAGAAGGGCAAGACTTCGAGTTGTACATTTCAGCTCCTAAAATGAATATCAAGCAATTCCAATATATTCATTGGAATGCCCCAGTATTTGCTTGGACTTTAGAAGCAGGTGTCCTAAGAATTTTACGCTCTGTAGTTTCACTTCCTGGTATCTATTATCTCCACGATGGAGAAAAGTCATTTCTCTAAAATATACAACTGATACATCTAGGGAGTGAAAACAGTTTTAAATCAACTGAAAAGGGCACGTTAACAAAATAAGGGAACCCTTAAGAGAAGCATTCATCTGGTTTATCTTGGTAACACTGGTAGCCAGGTAGATGTCTCCTGTATTCAGACACCAAATTCACAAAATGGCAGGCCACAGTTTCTATAAATATGACCAATGCTGTAATCATGCACATTTTTCTGTACCCAGTAAACAGAATTCTTCATTATCATTATTATTTGAAGTTTTATTTACTTACTTTTTACTTTTTCGGCTGTACCTTAGAGCATGCGGGATCTTAGTTCCCCAACCAGGGATCAAACCTGCGCACCCTGGAATGGAAGCTCAGATTCTTAGCCACTGGACTGCCAAGGAAATCCTTTCGTTATTATTTTTAATGTGACAAGACCCAGAAACAGAGTGGTGAGAACCCAAAGTGATGAATGGGGAAGACAGATACTTCAGAGTTATTCTCAGACAGGCCCAGGGGTTGACCAAACAGAAGTGAGAGAGAGGCCCCAAAGTGTAGGGCTTTGCCACATTTTGTTTGGCCCACATGGAATATTTTTAAATGTTCGTTTACTGTCAACACTAAAATATTAGGAAATTTCACTTAAATATCCAGATTTCAGGCTTCCCATAAAAAAAAAAATAAACACACAGATGATCCGGCGTGGCATTCCCACGAGGCAAAACTCTGCTGTTCACTCCCTCGTTTGCCACCAGGGAGAACAATGAGGGCCCGCTTCCTTCAAGGAGACTTGCTGTCTGGCCTCTGAAAGCCTCTAAGGGAACGAAGGAAGTTCTGAGCCTGAAGAAATGGGGAGCAACGGAAGAGGAAGCTTATTTGGGGCTAAAGACAATGAGTCTACGATGATCAAACAGGGACTGAGAGCGTTCCGGGGAGCGGGGCGGGGGGGNGGGGGGGCGTCAGGAGAAACCGGCTGGCAGCGGATGAAGACACAGACCCTGAGATTCAGGTGAAGCTGGGCTCTGGGATGCAGAGCTGTGAGGTGCCTGTGAAACCATCCAAGAGTCAAAAGAGTAGCTTAAGGAACAAGTGCCAAGGAAAAAAGAATAAAGGACTGAGTCCTAAGTATGTCTTCCATGGAAGATGGAAGAGAGAAAAAAGAAAGACAAAGGGAGGCCGAGGGACTTCCCTGGTGGTCCAGGGGTTAAGACTCCGAGTTCCCAATGCAGGGAGCTTGGGTTCGATCCCTGGTCAGGGAATTAGAGCCTGCATGCCACAACTAAGACTCAGCAAAGCCAAATTAAAAAGGGGAAGGGGAGCGTACAGAGACTGAAAAGACCAAATGAGCCCCCTTGGCTCTCCAGGGGCTGGTTTCCGGCTGGCTGAGTAGCTATTCTAGGGAATATCACAATAAAGCAAATCACGCAAATTTCTGGTTTCCCAGTGCATATAAGCTACCTTTACACCATATTGTAGTCTACTAAGTGTGTGACAGCATTATGTCTTAAAAAAAAAAAGTACATATCTTAATTTAAAAATACTCTCCAAAAAACACCAACCATCATCTGACAAGACAGGGTTGCCCCAAACCCTAAATTTGTAAAACACAAAACCCCACAACATCTGTGATGTACAGTAAAAGCAAAGTGCAATATAACGACATATGCCTATATTCTAAAAGGCTTAATGCCACTCCCACCTTGGGTCTAAATAAGTCTACATGGGAATAAGTCCACAATAAGTAAATCTGTAATAAGTAATAATAACGTGCTAATAAAAGAACAAGTCATTTCTGTGCTATACAAAAGTCAAGCCATGCCACCTGAACATGCCCTACAGGTGGCTTTCGCTAATTTCATGACTGGAAACGTCTTCAGCCACAAGATTATAAGTTCCAGCTTAACTGGGGGGTGGGGGTGGGGGTGGAAATAACTCCATTTCTGATTAAATGAGGATGCAAACTTCCTAGCTCCATAATATTCCAGCATAACTTTCTTGAATCATCACTATTTTCCTTAAAGACCATTCTAAGCTGACTTCAAAGAGAGGTAAGAGCCTCTGAGTCTTATCTGTCTAGGTGGCTCTTGATGACCAAATTACAGCCTACATTTTAACATCACTGGCATTGACTGAGGACTCAGTAGCATAGGCATGATGCACCCAACTCACTCTTGTGTAGTCGCAGAATAACCATGGTAGCCCCGTTTTGAGCACTAGAGAGGGCAAGCCACTCTCCGAGTCACCCAGGTGGTCAGTGTCAGAGCCCAGATTGTGACCTGGGTCAGCCTGGGCTCACACCCATGCTGGACTGTCCTTTCTGAATGACTGAACTGATCCACCTCCTTCAAGCCACCCCATTTCTGAGGAGTGGAAGGCAAATCCAGTGGTTCCAGATTGAGACAGTGTTAACACAGTGCCAGCAGGGCTGATTTCTAACCACATCCCTGAGACACTGCTAAACTCACAATGGCTGTGCTTAGACAACATTACGTAATAGTCCATATGCTGAGAAGCAACACTGTCCCTCGACCCGGGTCATTCAGAACTCTGAGCCTGGCCTTTCACAATTGGCTGAGTCCGTCAGACTCAGACGAGGCTCTATTTTGAATTCTAATGAGGATGGGGCACAATGAATATTTAAACTGCAATTACAAAGATGCTGCTTTTATGTGGGTGTCCTTAGCACACATAACAGATCTGAACGGACATGTAGGTGCCAATGAAAAATACCAGTCTCGTTTGCGTTTAGAAGCTGGAGAGAGACAATATTGTTTTATACTTGATGCTGTTGTTATTGGGGTGAGGGTGGGTAAAGAAAAGGGAGGTGGGGAAAAAAACCACCCAAAGATCCCAGTAAAAAAATGTTAAAGCCCAGGCTGCCGAGTGAAAGGTTCATAAAGAGGCGTCTGAATCCTTTGTTAGCAACTGAACAAACAGATTCATCATTGGGCCCTTCTGTGCAGGCCCCCTTGCAATCGGGTCTGTCTATACAACCAGAAATTTCCTCATTGGGAAAGCATCTATGACTGATATTATATCAGATCGGTAGGGCGATATGCTGGCGGTAGGAAAACAAAAGACCATTTCACGGTTCACAGCCTTTTTTTTGCACTCCCTTGAGTAAAATGATGAGGCGTCACTGCTATTCTTAGCTCACTCAAGCCCTCTTAAACAGTCATCAAGTTAACAGTAACTAACTTACCCTGAGAGGCTTAATTCCCACCCACCCCCACCCCCAAACAGTTAAAATATGCCCTACGTGCAGTTTCATGTACTACGTGTATGTGTTTACATATCAATGATCAACCTGGCCCTGCACTTGGGGAAAGCAAATGATTAACTCTTTGCTATGTCCTGAGGCTCTTAGACAAGCCCTTACCCCACTGAACACCTTTTTTATTAAGATCATAATTTAACTTCCATGGTGTCTGGACAGCCTTTTGTAAATGCCTGCATTTACAGAAAGAGAATGTGTTTTTTTTTTTTTCCATCTGTCCTCGAGTTGAGTCCCTCTTCTGCCAGGTACCAAATATGTCCACAGAGTCTTAAACTTCAGTTACTTTTTATTTCTAGAAGTTCTATTTGATCCCTTTTGATTTTCTAAGTTACTCTTTATAGCTTCCTATTCTCTGAAGATACTTTCAAGCCTGTCATGTCTTCCTTTAAATATAATAATTGATTTCATCATTTACATCTGAAAATTCTAATACGGCAAGTGTGTGCAGGTTGGTTTCTGCAGTCTGTTGCTGGTCCCTGCTCGTGTTATGCTGTCTCTGTGTATGCCAGATTATCTTCGAGTGGGTGCTGGTCATTGCCCTGCATGTTTGATTTCTGGTTGACTCCTAGAGACCAAGGATAATATTCTTTCCTCCAGAGAGGTATTTCGTTGCTTTTGCCAGGCACCTGGAGCTACAACAGATGAGTGTGGCTACTCAGGATACAAATGCACACGAGGGCCTTTCTGTGACCACAATTTGTCAGAAAAAAATAGTCTTTCTTCCTTTTCTTTTCCTAATTTGTTTGGGGTCAAGGCTGCCTTCTCCACAGTCCCCAAAGGCAAGTTTGGTTCTGGTTCACTTTTTCCCCCAGGGTATAGCTCTTTAGGGCCCCACTTTAATGGGGAAAGGGTCTCCTCTTACACTTCCCAGCTAGGCAGGCCCAGGACCTTACCTTCTAACCCCACTGGCCTGCCCCTCTCAGGTTGCAGAAGTCCCTGACTCCTCCCTGAAACTGGACTTTTACCAGATTAAAAAAAAAAACAAGAACAAAACAAAACTAGTAGAAAGTAACTAAGAGTTTAAAGGTTGAAAGCTAAACAAAAGGTCAGGCCAGTGTGGCAGGGCCTTCTCCAAATTCAACACTGAATTACAATTTGATTCAGTGATTCTACTTCAGATGGGGCTTCCCTGATGGCTCAGATGGTAAAGAATCTTCTTGCAATGCAGGAGACCAGGTTCAATCCCTGGGTCAGGAAGATCCCCTGGAGAAGGGAATGGAAACCCACTCGAGTATTATTGCCTGGAAAATCCCAGGACAGAGAAGCCAGGTTGGCTATAATCCACAGAGTCACAAAAAGTTAGACACGACTGAGTGGTCAACACTTTCACTTTTCACTTCTGGGCATATACACCAAAAAGCAGGGGCTTGAACTCACTTGTACATTCATGCACACTGCAGCACTATTCATAGTAGCTAAAGGGTGGCAACAACCCAGGAGTCCTCTGACAGATAAATGGGTAAACAAAATGTGGTATAAATATTAACAACGGAATATTATTCAGCTTAAAAAAGGAAAGAATTCCAGATGCATGGTACAACATAGGGGAATACTGAAGACATTATGCTAAGTGAAATAAGCCAGATACAAAGGGACAAATACTGTATGGTTTCATTTACGTGAGATACCTAGAGTAGTCACAGTTGTAGACAGGAAGTGGTCACATTTGTAGAGACAGAAAAATTAAACAGCTCAGCTCTGAATATTTTTATGGACATTTCTAGATACAAACATCAATACCAGGGAAAACTATAAAATAAAAAAGTAGCAACAGTAGAATCAATATCTTCATTGTGATGTCATGAATGGCATGTGCTGAGGACCGCTATGTTGTCAATGCAAAACAGACTGACATATAATGATAACAGTTAATACTTACTCTTCTTCACTGCTTACTGTGTGCTAACCACTGTTCTAAGTGCTATATATCCCTATCTGTCTATCTACTTATCATCTGTCTTTATCTCTATTAAATCATGTATTCCTTATAACAACCCTCTCAGAGATGTACCATTATTATTCCCATTTTGGAGATGGGAAAATCAAGGCACAGGGGAGTGGGATTTCCCAAGGTCACATGGCCAGTGAATGGTGAAGCTGGGATGTGAGTCCAACCTCTGGACCCCACACTGTTCACTATTAGGCTGTCGCTGCTCTCTGCACAAAATACGGAAATTCATGGACAATGGCCAGTGTTGGATAGTTTACATGGTTTATATAATTTCATTTTGATAACCAGGCTATCTACTTGTTTTTTTTTTTTAAACAGCCAGGGAAACGCAAGTTCAGAAAGATTAAGTTTATATCAGAATTGAAGATAACAACAGATGGAGGTGGGAGTGAACCCATGTATCTCTGTTGCCAGAGACTCAGGATCTGATGCAAAGAACAGCATGGTGGGAAGTTAGGAGAAGGCTGTTAAAGCAAAATCAAGAAGGCTTTGCTTTGGGCAGGAAGCAGAAAGAAGCACATGCCCTATTATAGGAGGAGGAGCACAGAGTATCTGGCTTGGCATCTGGTGGATGAGAACTGGCAGGTTGAGAGGAGCAGACAGGTGATGAAAGGGAAGCAGGCGGGTGCCCCCAAGTTCCACTTCCTCTGAGATTCCAGAGTCTATATATCTACCTGGCCCTCCACCACCTGGTTGTTCTAGATTTCTGTTTGACCACATACACAGGCAAGGGAGGTAGCACTTCTCAAACTGTGCATCACAGGTGAACCTCACATAGAGGTCCTTCTAAAACTGGACAGATCAGAGGGATCCACTATGTTCTTCACAGTGAAAGGGCTAAAATCAGGCAAAAAGCTAGAAGCAAAAAGTTCAGGTCATTAGATTTTTTTCTTTTTTTGGTAGTGCTATTGCATTGTTATGCATAACAAAAGTCGTAGCTTTATAAACCTGGTGCACCTTTGTGAGAGGAAACACCAAATAACCATGAGTGTAATGGCTGCGGATGTCAGCACCATTCGTCGTCACTTACCTGTGGGCAAGGCACTGTGCATGGGCAACAGATCACCGCAGCCCGACAAGCATCTGCATTGGAATGTCTGCCCAAGAGCAAGGGCCTGCATCAGGAGTGCCTGGCACACCTGTTAAATGATGAACCCTCTCGAACTCCAGCCTCCAGCCTCACTCTACTCAGTCTCAAGGGGACAGCCAGGGAATCAGCACTCTCAGCATCATTCCTGGGGATTCTTATTTTGACCTATGTTCCCTCATTTCATGCACGAGGTATTAAGAAGTAAAAGAACTGCCAAAGACATCACTAAATACAGGATATAAACTCAGCTGGACTTTAGACTCTATGCTCTAACTGCTCTATGTCTCCAGCTTCAGCAAGGACACTTGTGACTAAAAAATAAGGCCCCAAACAAGCAAGGTGGCCTGTAAAAACCATGAGATCTACCACCACTGGTCTGCATGACACTGTCAATTTCCCAAACTATTATTCTCGGTAAGCACGGAGGAAAGTTTCTTATTTTAAATTAAAAAAAAAAAAATTAACAATGCATTCTACTTTCCTTGCACTCCTAACAATTCACTTCATTTTCACCAAGATGTAGGGATCTTCTAGAAATTTCAACACTTTATCACATGAAACTGCATGTATTCGAAGAGCAAGCGGATCCCTGCAGTAAAATCAGACCAAACGTGGGAAGCTTATCCACAAGCGATGAGAGAAGCAAGAGCTGTAACTACAGCGATCTCTTACCACAAGACGTGGACTTCCTGTCCACCAGATTCACACGCCTGGTTTCAGTGCGAAGTTTCTCATCGGTATTCTCCACCAGGTTGGCAAGGTCATCAATTATCTCTATAAAGGAAAACAAAGATGCATGGTTAACACTCCAAAAATACCTTGGCTCACATCAGAGTCTCATAGCTGTGGTGGGCCTTCCTAGTAATAATTCTCTCAACTGCAGTGTGTGAGATGGTTTTAAAGAACTTACATTTCTTTGAAAACTGCAGTTCTGATTCACTGATGGTCGGGGGGGAGTTAGAGAGGGAAAGAGTAGTAAAGAAAAAAAAAAATTCAACATAATTCCAGGAGACAGAGGAGAAATGTCAAAAGTTCAGGGGAAAGAAAGCATGACCCAACAAATTTATGCCCAGCCAAGTTGTCATCTGAGTATAAAGGTGACAGACAGACGGTATAGAGGACTTTGGGGACCACTGGACTCCTTCTTAAGAAAGCTGCTTGATGATGAAATCTAGCTGACCGAGAGGTGAAAAAAAATACACAACTCTGGGCTGGAGAAGCCAGAGGCCATGACACAAGAGATGATGGTAAAAACTGAATCAAATATGTGAAGCTGAGAATAAACAAATATATGGATCAGGTTACAGAGGAGTAGACAAATGTTATAAACAGTGACAATGGAATTAAAGGTGAAGATTCAAGAAGCAGTTGGTAGGGGAGGAACATGGGGAGAAAGGTGCAAAGAAACTAAGGTGTTAATTTCTTCATCACTGACATTAGAGTCATATCAGGCTGCTGAAAAGTAAGACATACACTCACAGCTTTATAAAAATAACCAAGATTTCAATGTTTTATGCTATTTTTCTGTTAACCTTAAATGGATCTTTTAACAATTACTACCTCCTAGAAAGAATTCTTCATGTGAAGTTTATTTTTTATGCTTATCTTTTAAAAGTGAAATTAAAGAGGGAGGTGGGAGGGGGGACCGGGATGGGGAATACATGTAAATCCATGGCTAATTCATTTCAATGTATGACAAAAACCACTGCAATGATGTAAAGTAATTAGCCTCCAACTAATAAAAATAAATGGGAAAAAAAAAAAGAAAAAATAAGTGAAATTAAGCACTTAACATTTAAATAGCACATATAGTATAACCTTAATTAGGTAAAATTATTTCCATCCCTCCTTTTATATGTACCAACCTTTAAAGATGTATCCACACAGTGTTAACCTGATGTTAATAATGATTATTTCTCAGTGGTGGGGTCCTTGGTGATCTTGCCTGTATTTTCTGAATTGCTTGAATTTATGATGAACTCTATATGCTATTTTTTTTTTTCAATTTTGGTTCTCCTTCTTCCCTCCTTCCCTCTCTTCCTCTTTGTGGTTGCGGACACAATTTAGCAAATAAACAACAGATATCTGTTTGCATGTCTTTCTTTTACAGGAAGAGGATGATGGACACTAACTCTTATCTCTGTAGCTCCTATCTCTAGGAGAGTGCCTAATACACGGCAAGATCGGATAAATACTAAAAGATAAAGGGAATGAATGATTTGAGTATAAATGATAAAAGCACTGAATAATGTCAATGCACTGAATAACTTGCTGCTTCTTAGAAAAGTGGATCTAAGCCAATTTTGTCAAATATTATCTACACAACATCTGCCTAGTAAACCAGTCACTATTATTTAACCATCCATTCACAGCTATTTCCTTGTATTCAAGGATATATTCTCTCCTAGTTTTCTTTCAACTATCTATAAGCTCTGTCTGGAGTTTCCTCTTCCTCTTTTTTTTAAAATATGTGTCTATTTATTTTTGTCTGCACTGGGTCTTAGCTGCTGTGTGCGGGCTTTAGTTGTGACTGGGAGCTACTCTCCAATTGTCAGTCTCCAGGGATCCTCACTGCGGTGCCTTCTCTTGCTGTGGCGCACAGGCTCTAGGCACATGGGTGGGCTTCAGTAGTTGTGACACACAGGGTTTAACTGCCCCAGGGTATGTGGAATCTTCCTGGGCCTGGGATCGAACCTGTCCCCCACACTGGGGCAGGCAGGCCACCAGAGGAGTCCTCCTCTTCCTCTTAAATGTTGGTGATCCCCAGAGTTCTGTACATTTCTATTCTATTTTCATTTGAAACTATTTAAATTCATTTAATTTTTAAAATATTTAAATTTTTTTAAAAAGAAAATGTCTGCTCTACACAGCTCTCCAAAAATCCTTGACTCATATAGCCAACTGCTTACTACTTGAAATTCCTACAAATCTGTCTCACTAGGTCTCCAAAACAAAACTCCTCATCTTCCCCCAAATCTGACTCCCCTATTTTCCCTGCCTCAATTAATGAATGGTACCATCATTAATTTGCTTGCCTAAGAAGGAAATCTTAGGAGTCACACGAACTTCTCCCTTCTCCTTCACTTGACATTCCGTTTGTTGGCCAATCTTGTTGATTCTACCTCCCCATTACCTTCCAATCCTACCATTTCTCTTAAACTGTTAGTAATACCTCACAAAAAGTTCCCAGTGTTTCTAAAACTGTCCTAACTTACCTTCCTGTTTCTGTCCCTCAGTCTCTTCAATCCATTCTCCATACTCTAGTCAGGGACTTATTTTTTTAATATTTCAATTAATTTAAGTAGCTGTATGTGACTAGTGATTATTATATTAACTCATTATTGACCAGGGGATTTTTTTTAAGGAATTAATAATACCTGTGGCCAGCAATTTGTTATGTAAATGATATTGACACATCAATAATGGTTGGGTGAAAAAAGATGTATTAATATGTCTCTCATCAATAATGTGTTAAACAACAGACTTCTAAAGCAATAACTTAAAAAAAAATAAAGAAAACAAAACACACACCCACCAACCATATAACCACCACCAAGAGGAATAGCTTAAAAAAAATCAATAGAGGAAATAAAACTGAATACCGAATATGCATGATTCACTCAAAAGAAGGCAAGAAAGGAGATACAGAGGACAGGACAAAAGACTGTAAGTACCTAGATGGCAGACTTAAACCCAATTATGTCAATCATTATATTAAATATAAATGGACCAACTTCTCAACTGAAAGATAAAGAATGTCAGGCAAGATTCAAAAATAATAAAAAACCACACTACTCAAATATTTGCCTTCACAAAAACTTCAAATATAAAGCACAGAAAGTATTTGTGTGATAAAGCTGGCACAGTTGTATTAATATGGATCAGATCAATTTCAAGTCAAAGAGTATGATCAGAGAGAAAAAGGAATCTTTCATCAGGATGAAAGAACATGTGACAGAAGATGGGAAAAAAAACCCATATTTGAATGCTAAGGAAACCTTTCCTAAATAACCTATATAACAAAAAAAGACAAAAATATCTTCTCTGATAACTTCTATTGAACATTTTATTATAAGTCCCACACTATTTGGTAAGACAAGGGGAAAAAAGCAAAAAGATTTATTTATTTATTGTTTGTGGGACCTTAGTTCCCTGACCAGGGATTGAACCTGAACCCCTTGCATTGGAAGCATGGAGTCTTAGTCACTGGACCACCAGGGAAGTCCCTGCATGATATGTTTTAAAGTTGCAATAATATAAAATATTATAACATTCAGACTTAATAAGCGTATAGCACCATAAAAAAGTCAAGTGAAAATATTCCTTGTCGAATTCTAAATGTGTCAGTTGTTATATGTTAACTGGGTTTCTGGGCAGAGCTCTCATTAGATTTATAAATATTAATAACTTAGAGGTAAATAAAAAAACCAGTAGAAGATTAAACAAAAACCAGTAGTCAATACTGAATGGGTTAATGTTTTCATCTTAGACCAGACATCTTGGCTGGTAAACCTCATCTGATTACCAGTTTGTTTGCTTTCCAAAAAAAAAAAGAAAAGAAAACCCTTTATTTTTAACTGATAAAAATTATATAATAGCAAATTTATAAATGAGAGATGGAAAAGTATAAGATTATCCAAACATCCCAGTAATCACTTCTATGGATTCCCTTCTAAGATTTGACATAAACATACATACTTTTATATAATTGCAATATATGAGCCTCTGCCCCCGTTAACATATCATTTGTATGCTTTCATGTTGTTACACAGTCTTCATGGTTATAATTTCTAATGGTTACAAAATATTCATTCCATTAAAATAAACATTCATTAAAAATAGCCTATTGTGGGATACTGAGAATGCTTCTGTATTTCTACATCATGAGTCAATGAATTCTTTCCTCCATGATCATCTTCCTTCTTCTCTATTGTTTCCTTAAGTTAATTAAGTGTGATCATGACTGCCCCAAGGACTTTGAAACACACTGCCAAGTTAGTTTTTAAAAGGTCTGCACTGCCACTGTGGGTTGATTTAATTGAACTCACTCCTTAATATGACCTCAGAAGGAGATTTCCAAGGGCAAGGAGCCTGGGGGAATTCCCACCTTGCAGCCTAGCAGCTTCTAAGGGGGGAATTTCCCCAACCACAGACTGTTACGAGCAAATTAAATACAGGTTTCAGAACACAGGTTAAGAAACAACCAGCTGACTCTTTCAGATTCCTGACAGTACGGCCTCCAAGTGGCAACTGATATTTTGATTCCTGGTAATTATTTGCATTTGGTTTCAAGGAGGAACTTATGTTGCTATTGTGTATTAACTTGAGATACCAAGTGCCATTCCAACACAGAATGGGAAAAAATGGACAATAGGAAGTGTGATGCAAAACTGAATCAAAGAGCAGTAAGAAATATACAGTGCCAACATGGCTGAGTCTAATTATATTTAATTTTTCTATACTCAGTTACAGTCTCAGTAAATTCCATATTAGTGCCGGAAGTGTGTTACATATTTTCAGATAAGTTTGGTACCTTTTGGTACTCATAGTGGATGCCGGCACTTGCAAAGTCATTGTGTTATGCCTTTAGCTTATATTGTTAATGACATTTCAAGACAAGCATTAAAAAAAACCACAGCAAACAGTGAATAGAGAGCTTTTCTTGAGGGCATCAATTTAACTCCCTTTATTCCTACCATGGAAACTAAACATGGGGTGGATGATAACATCTAATAACATCTAACACTTTTCTGTAGACTAGGAAACCCTAACCC